TATCAAGGTCCCTTAATAATATGTAAAACAGGAGGAACAAAAAGATCAGAACTGTTGTTGCCTCAGCTTGACTTACGTGTACTTTTAAAATTATACATTAATTTAGCCAGATATATGTGGTAAGAATTGCCATCATAGGATTGTTATAAATCTCCAACCTTCACCTGAAACTTAAATATAAAATATTGTTCAGGAAGATATATGAAGGTAACTGATACTAAAACATAAAGTAACTGAAGCTCAGAGAAGTTACTCATTAGATATGGTCACAAGAGCATTTTAAACATTTTATATTCCAGTTTATAAAAGCTCAGTGCAAATAATTTGAAGTTTAACAAAAGGTGAAACTTTAAATATATGTTCAATGATAGCTAGGCATGTAAATGATATAAAATAGAAAAATAATTTTATAATTTCTCTAGTTGTAGAAGTTAAGCCTTCATCTAGACTTATAGAGACCATTTTTAAATTTTTATTTTATTAAATTAACACTTGTTCATTTATTTTACATACTAACCAGTTTTCCCTCTTTCCTCCACCCCCCTTCCCATCTGCCTCCCTCCCTACCCACTCCTCCTCCTTCTCTATTCAGAAAGGGACAGGTCTCCCATGGGCTTGAACAAAGCATGGCACATCAAGTTGCAGTACGACCAAGCTCTTACCCCTATATCAAGGCCAGGAGAAGTAATCCAGCATAGGGAATAGGTTCCTAAAAGCTAAATAAGTTCCAGAGACAGGCCCTGATCCCACTGCTAGGAGCCATACAAACAGACCAAGCTACCCAACTGTCACACACGAGCAGAGGGTCTAGGTTGGTACCCCAAAGGCTCCCTAACTATTGGTCCAGAGACCATGAGTTCCCATGAGTTCAGGTCAGCTGTTTATAGAGATCATTTTAAAAATAGAAATGTTATTTAATTGTTATTTAGCTAGCTCATTGCTCTTGGGGATGCCATGGGCTTCTTTACAAAGTCCTGTTCTGATCAGATCAGAAAGGGCCTTTGTTGTTGCTGTTACAGAACAGCTTACTCTCTTCTTTAATAGTAGAGACAGAGCTATTCTGAACTGAAATACACTTGCTTCTTCGAATATGTGTAAGGTTGGGGGAGCAGAAAGCAGAGCTTTCTCTTGAATCATCAACTAAGGAAAGAGGTCATTTCTGACAATAATCCCAAAGTTGTTTTTTATCATGTCACCTTCATTTCTTGCCTACCTATTGAAAGCTGGAGCATGCTCAACTTTAGAAACTATTGACTGAGATCAGTCAAGACTGAATTCTGAAATGGAGATTAAAGCAAAGACAAGCTGTATTCTGAGAATCATACCAGTGCTTGAAAGTCATGGGCACACCTCTTAATGCTTTAAAGTGATTTTATAGTAATTCTTCAAGTTCAGAGTTAGAGAGCCAACATTCAATGTCATTGCCACATAACCTGGGCTAAACATGGCAGTCAAAGTAGAAAGAACACTGTATGGGTGTGTTGACGATTTTAGAATAAATCGTTACAGATACCATGAGCTCAGATGTTTCTATTTTCTGAAAAAATCAACCAAGATTATGGATTGAAAACTGTTATGGAAACTTATCATAAATCTAATTCCCTTCCAAAGCCATTAGTGGAGGCCATAGTGAGACACCAGCATGTGCTTTCCTTGTATCCATTTCATTCTAGTGCCCTTAGGAATTTAACACAAAAGGAATTTTTAAAACTGTAATTTCAATTGCAATCTCAGTTTCTGCTCCCTTTTCATTTTCAGAAACCTGAATAATGTGAGCATGTGTTTCACTCATTAAATACTTTGTGTTTCTTTTTGTTTGGTTAGCAAAGAAAGAGCACATGCAATGTTTAATTGTTGTAAATGTCTCTGTTCTTCAGGCTTAACACTGAAATCATATACATGACAATATTAAAAACTTCAGCCTTGAATGTTCCCGGGTAAAAGCATTCGGTTATCTTTTGACTATTTCAGACTCTTACCTTTGGCGATGTTGTTGCTGTCCGCTGTTATGAAAAGGCATAGAAGAGATGATGGATCTTTGGAAGTTCCGTTTGCTGGAGTCTCAGAGCTAGCTGGCTACTACATACAGCACTGGTCACTCTTAGATAGTTGTCTTTGATGTGGAGGCAGGAAATTACAATTTAAAGATTTGTTACTCCAAGCAACTCATAGAACTTTGATATATGAAGTTACCCTCTTTTATACCCCCCTACAATTTTATAATAACTTTTTATAAAGGTGGGAATACACCTTATGATTTCCTTTGGAATGCAAACCCAAGTGGAATAAAAAGGATACACACTTATTAAAAGTTGGCTGTTGTTTTTAATGTCATCGATCTGTCTAGGAACTGTCTATTAGAAAGTTTTCAATAAAAGAATCTTTCTTATAGCATAAACTAAGGCTGGAAAAGTAATACCTTGTTTAAAATGCTCATTCATAAAATAACTGGTTGACTAAGGAACATGGGGATGGCACATTTTTGTGACTTTGATGAATCAATAAATCTGGTCAGGACCTAAGGAAGTTGGTTACAGTGCGTTAGACTACAAAAATGACCGTTTGCTGTTAAAAAAATCAGTGACAAAGAAAAAAATGATGGGCTTCAATATGTGATAAAAAAAAAACTAAATAAAATCCAGTGGCATGCAATCACAATGTCATTTACCAAAGTTTTTGAGTAAAAACAATAAAAAAAAAGAAGTTGATTTCATCTTCTATTCTTAGCATGGACCTTCAAACCCCTCACCACACTGAACTTTACTAAATCAAGAATGTTAAAATGAAGTGAATAAAGAGAATCTATGAAAGTGTCCAAATTCCTCTTTTTCCTGTGTTTAGATGGAAGAGGTGAGGGCCGCAGAGCTGACCAAAGAAAACAAGTATCTTTTTGTAGCTGGTTTGCATTTGTGATGTATATACAAACTAATGTGACTACATTTTATTACTTGTAAAATGCTCATTAGTCATTTTCTCAACCAGTGCTGTAAAACAAGGCAGGGAATGCTGTATGCATTCTACCAATGGGGTAAACTAAGGGTTGAAGTTGCCTGGACAAATTGTCATAACTAACAAATAATACTGAAAATGGCAAACTTCAGTGTTTCCCTTTATATCCTCTTGGAATCAGTATCTCAACTAAGTTTCCTTCTAAAACAAAACTACAAGATGTTATTCTGATTAATCTTTTGTTAGCCTTTCCTCTATTGGCTTTAGTATTTAAGTGTGTATGGGGGCATACTAAAATATCTTTTGGGGAGAAATATATAATGCTTATTTAATACAAACTTGTAATTTCATTATATCTTTATAAGTGAACTCAAGATCAAAATATAAAATTTGAGGAACTGTCCTTTAATTTATATAGTTCAGTACAATGATGCCATTAGCTGATTAGATTACTATAGGGCAGGATCAATATTCCTTACCCAAAATACTTGGGACAAAAAGTGCTTTATATTTCAGGACATACATATACATAACAAAGTATCTTAAAAGTATGATCTAAACACAAAATTCATTTATGTTTCATATGTACCTTTTTCACATACTTGGAGGTAATTTTGTAAAATATTTCAGTGTACTTGAATTTTCACTAGAATCTGTCATTTAAGCTCAGGTATGGAATCTCCCTTTGGTGGTATCATGTCCATTTGGGACTTTGGAGCATTTTGAATTTCCAATTTCTATATTAAAGATTCTCACTGTGGCTGGATGCTTGGGAGGCAGAGGCAGGTAGATCACGGTGAATCGAGGCCAGGCTGGTCTACAAAGCGAGTTCCAGGACAGTCAGGACTATTACACAGAGAAACCCTGTCTCAGGGGGGAAAATTTCTCAGTGTGCACTTTAAATAAAATACTTTATGATTTGTGTATATGTATTTGTGTGTGTGTCTGTCTGTCTGTCTGTCTGTCTGTCTGTCTGTCTGTCTGTCTGTCTGTCTGTCTGTCTGTAGGTGCTTGTGGGTGCCTGCAGAGGCCAGAAGAGGGTGTCAGATACCCTGGAACTATGGTGGTTTGAACCACCGGACTTGGGTGTTGGGAATCAAAATGGTTCTCTGGAAGAGAAAAAGTGCCCCTGAGCATTGAACTAGCTCTCTAGCCACTCAATATGTACTTTAATTTAGAGCACAGAAATACAAAAGTAAGCATTTAAACGTACAACTATTGTTAGCAGCCTGGTACACCTGGCTCATTCCCTTGGGGACCTGGCAGAGTATGTCACCCATGCGCTAATGGTAGGCAATACCCAGGCATTCTGTGTGATCCCTTTAAAAGGCAAAACTTCTCCAATCTTTCCTCTTCTTCCTGCCCTGTCTCTCTCTCCCTCTTTCTCTCACTCTTCCCAGGAGGCTGATCTGTGCTCACTTTCTCCCCTTCTCCCTTACCCCACTCTCTTTACTTCTTCAATAAAACTTCCCATGTAAGCTCTGTCTGGACAGATTGTTTGTCCCTCACCTGTCATGGTTTGGACTCCACTTGCCAAGGGCCCTACCACACTGAATCATACCAATTATTACTGTCAAAGTAAGATTATCCATCAAAAGTCACTGGTCCTAGAGAGTCTAGTCTCTTTATAAATGCAAAGTAGGACTTTGAGGAGGTGTTCATTCCACATCCCTACAGCCCCTGTCTCCGATACTGACTCTTGCTTTGGAAGCATGGACTCTGGCCTGCTGAGCTAAGGATGGGCTTTCTCTTCAGTTCACTGTAATATAGCTAAAACATAGCCTATTGGTATTCATTTCCAAAACACTAAAGAATGGAAAGGTGTGTGGGCGGCTTGAGTGTGAAATAACATCACAATAGGATAAAAAAAAAAAAAAAATGAAGAGCTGCCTTGGTAGGTCACATGTATAGTTATAGTATTAATAGATATTTCTGTTGTGCCCAAGTTCTGAACCTTGAAATCATCAAGAGGCCCATTCTCATGAAAAAGCAAAGAGTCTTATTATTTAACAGTTAAATGTGTTAACTCCGTCTTCCGTCCCTCCAACATGGCAGGCAGGAGCTAGAAGAACGGAAGGAGCCTGAGGCAGGGAATTTATTGGTTAGAGCAAAGGGAGTGTCTAGGGATTTGCAACAGTCTCAGGATTGGAGCACTTCTGGGCTTGGGTGACCTGTCCTGTGTTGATTGTTCAACTGGTTGTTATGGCTTAAAGGCCCTCCCAGGGCAGTTGCTATGCTCTGTATGCCACTGTTGTATCACTACCTTAAAGCACCTCCAGAGCCTGCCAGCTAACTTCTGATTGGTTCCTTCCACGTGAAGGTATTTGACCTCCTTTGACTAGGGGGTTGGGCAAGGTCAGGAAGCTCAGCACATTTTGCTGAGTCAGAGGCCGACATCTTGCTGTGTCTTTTCTTCAACCTGCCATGGCTGCAGAAGCAGGGGACTGGGTGAGGGTCTGGTCCCTTCATTTCTATTTCTTAAAATTTTAAAAGCAGTTGGAAATCATTTTGCTTCAAATCAAATTTTATTTCAGAAAATAATCTGCAGATATACTAACTTTTCAGCCCCACCCCTTACATTGTTTAAGAATTTATCTCGACCAAGCACAATCTGATCAAGAGATTAAGGGAACATCAAATTAAGGGAAATTTGAAAATTTCAAGTTCTCAAACATAAAAACCAAGCTGTTTTGTAAAAATGCAGTTATAGACCACTGTACTAGTTAGCATTAACTGTTGTTGTGCCCAGATTTTGGAACCCCAAAAGAACCCGCCAACAAGGAGACAACTCACCGAATGCAAGGACAAAGGTTTCTTTATTGACTCAAGGATATGAGCTGCGGCAAGGACCCCATTTGTTCGGGAACAAATGGAGTTCTCACTTTCGACTGAGGGGTGTTTTTATAAGGGAAAATTGCAGGGTTGGAAGCCCCAGGATTACAGAACTTCCGTGGTTACACAGGACAGGGCAATGGTTGTATGATTCAGGCAAGGTACAATTAAGCAGGATGCTGCAGAGGAAATGAGTTTGTTAATTATCTCCTGGGCTGGGGACTTCTATAATTGATAACTATCTCATCCTCTTTGGATCAGAGGAATGTGGACACCATTCTAGGATGGGATATCTGGTCTAAGGGCTTGAGTCCTTTGGACATTTGTTTAACCTTGTCTGCTGAGTTGCCTTTGGGGAACTCAGTTTTCTTTTTGGGCTTTGGAGTCTGGGGTTTAGACTTTTATTAATTTTCCCCTTTCACTGCGAACTTCACATAGCTTAGGTTCACCTCCAAAGAGAGGCCTGATGGAGAGACTGCCCCGGTCAGATTGGCCTATAGACATATAAGTGGGGTCTTGTTTGTTAATAGATAGAGGAGGGCCCAGCCCACTGTGAGTGACTCATTCCCTGGTCTAGTGGTCCTGGGCTCTGTAAGAAAGCTAGCTAAGCGTGAGTCTATATGAGAGCCAGTACCATTCCTTCAGTTTCTGTTGCAAGCTCCATCTTGAGTTTCTGCCCTAACTTCTCTTAATGATGGACTGTAATCTATAAAAGAAACCTGTACCTTCTGTGGTGCTTTGATTAAGAATGACCATGGTAGGTTCGTAATGTTTATGGAGTGGCACTATTTGAAAAGATTAGGAGGTGTGGCCTTGTTGAAATAAGTGTGTCACTGGGGGTAGGCGTTGAGGTTTCAAAAGGCCAAGCCAGGCCCAATGGTACTCTCTCAGTATTGTAGACCTCTCAGTTCCTTCTTTAACACCATGCCTGCCTGCATGCTGCCACATTCTCCACCTTGAAGAGAATGGACTAAATCCTGAAACTGTAAGCAGACCCCAGTTAAATGCTTTCTTTTATAAGAGCTGCTGTGGTCATGGTGTCTCCCACAACAATAGAACTTTGACTAAGTCACCTTCCATGAACTCCTTCGGTTGAGTGTTTCTTCTTGGCAACAAAGATGAAACTATAATGAAGGAACCGGCTTCCCTTTTGGCAGCCATAACAGCCGAACACCTGCTTTCCCTAAACCTGC